ACATATGATTCAGCAAGAATAGCAGAGACCGCTGATGCGTAGCTAGCTCGGTAATTATGGCACGAATGCTCGAATCTGTTCGCATCATGGCTCAATTGGGTCAAGCACGAAACAGGTGTTTCCTCCCAAACGGGAGCTTGGAAGGGGTGAGTGCGTTCCATTCTAGGGCAGGGTGGTCCGTACACATACAGACTGACAGAGTACGAAGTAATACGGGTAGGTACAAAGACGGGTAAGGTGGGCAGAATTTCCTCGATTTTAGCATGTGCTTGCAGCTCGCAGATATTACACACACACACACACACACACACACACACACACACACACATATGACGCTGCGGGCCACATATGTTGCTTTTTTTTTTTTTGTATTTTTCAATACTGACTCTATTGCAGCAGTTCTTATCCACTTACTTGACTCGCGGCAGGCAAATGGACAGACGGTGGATACTGTACACTGTATGGAGTACCAGAGGTTGGATACTGCGTAGGTACGGATAGACCATACGGATTACCTAGATGCGCAGCTATGTAGAGAGAGAGCTCTGAGCTTCCGTCCAGCGGCTATGGCCCACAGCGCGCCCAATTCAATCCGTGTGGCTGGTAAGACGGTTTGGATTTTGGGGGCCAAACGGGGGGTCCAGGGGGAGGGGGGGTTTGAGGTAGGTTGCCGTCGTCTGCTCGCCCGGAAAGGGGACCGTCGGGTATCCTGGGCCCAGTTCGGGGGGCCACGAGGGGTGGGCTATTGATAATACCTTGCTGCCAAACATGTTTCTCGGACTTCAGTCTTAATCGGGTCCAACTCTGGGTTGGAGACTTGGAGTCAGTCTCGTCTTGGAGTCGTTCTTGGAGGCTTTCTTGGGGTCGCCTAGCGCAGGAGACTGAAAGTATGATCTCCTTGGCAGCTCAGCAGCATTTTCTTCGATCCAAGTACACTACTTAGTTACCAGGTACGTCCGTATCTTCATTATCTGAGGTATCTCACTCCATGTAGCCCGAATCCCATTTTTCCTTTCCAAATTGATATTTCTTTTGTTGGTCAGGAAAGCCAGTTTTTTGTTTCTCCTAACTCTCGTTCTTTACGTGGTATTTGATGGATTATTTGTTTTTTATTTCTGCCTTTGCTGGCTGCTCGGGCGATTCTCGATATCGATTACACGGTATTAATACACAGTATCAATGGATACTCCCACTGTCTCGATAGACTATTTGATGGATTATATATGAAGAAAACTCCCGTCTAACCCCTCCCCCAAACGCCCCGGAGCTCTGTCCCGGCCTTCGTCGAGCTCATGTTGAATGACGCCGGCCCGTACTGATATTATGCTTCGCTTGCTTCAATCCATTTCTGTTTCGCAGTTGAGGTGGACGTCCAGAAACCTTTCCTCGCCCAAAAAGAAAAAAAAAAACCCCCCATCCCTGGCAAGCTTATTTTCTCCCTCTCTGTTTTGTCCCTCTGGGACTAGCTGCCTTCAGATCTCCATAGCCTGCCGAATCAAGTCCGATGGTACCAAAGCTTGCACTTCACTCCAGTTGCTCCCAGCGTCTCTCACGCAGGGGCTTCTCTTTGCCGGCCGCGGCTCTGGTACCCTCTTTCTCTTCCTTCCACGCCCAGTACTCGGCGAGGCGCGTTTCCGCATACGAGGCGTAATCAAAGTCGATCTCCGAGATGACGGCTTGGATCAAAGCCCAGATGCCCCAATAGAACCCCGGCACGCCACGGAATAGGTCCACCTCGTGTGTGAGCTTTCGGACCTCCGCCTCGACATCAACATTTGTGTTGTTCTCGGAGTATTTGTAGAACGAGCGAATGTACTCCTCAATGAACTCTCGACGCTGGGACTGGGTAGGCATGAAGTTGTAGTCGCAGTCGAATCCACCCCACTCGGCCAAGTGGTTGGCGATATCGAACGCGGCTGGTGACGGCGTGGCATACTCGTAGTCGATGAACGTCACTGTAGCCTCCTTCTTGGGGCCTTTGGCGGGTTGGGTACTCGGTAACACGATCACGTTGCCGCTCAGCAAATCGCAATGGGCAAAAACTAGCTGTTACGAGATAACCATTAGCAACTGTATAGGATCTTGGCAGCTCTACGTGACTTACGCCATCAACACCTAGACCGGGGCGTTGGCTGAACTCCTCCACAATGTATTCAAACTCCTTCTGCAGCTTGTCTTGTCTCTCCCTCTGGACCTGTGTATCGCTGGGCAGGGCCAAAATCCATTTTTGCATCACTGACCATAGGTTCGGCACAGGCTTCCCAGGTGCAGCGTTCTCGATGATGGCATTCAGGTCCTGATCGTGGCCCTTGGCGTTGCCATTGGTAGATGTCTGGTGTGTAATGCAGGGCACAGTCGCGTGCCACTGCGCTAACCTGCTGGCGACGGCTCGATAGATGTGTGGCTTCCTCAGGTCCTCCGGGGCTGTGACGCTGCCCTTGATAAATCGGTAGAGCATGCCATTCTGGAATCGGGCGAGCAATTCGGGGGCAAGGCCGTGCTTCATGAGAAGTTCATGGTTCTGAGCTTCGCGCTCGCGGTCGATGAGGACAGCGGTTCCATTTCCATACGCGCGCAACAAGATGGCCTCTCTGTCTATATCCTCCTTGGACCAGCCCTTTCGCTTGTTGATGGCTTTGAGTAGGGTATTGGTGATGCCGTCGGTGAAGCGAACGAATTCGATGTTGGAGTCGTCGGAGGCCCAGTCTGGTCGAACAGTCAGGATTAGACTAGTCGCAGATTGCTGAGAGTCTTCGCTGTCGTAGAAAAGGGGAAGTGTTCGGACATGGGGCAGCGCCGACCCGTTTGGGTGGCCGTTGCTTGCACCTTGGGTCATGATTTGACCGAAGGGATGACCGAACTACGTGGGCGAAGGAAGGGATGGGTATGTCGAAAGGGCAGGGACAATACCGAAGAGGTCAATTGCTGGATGAGGAGGCCCCTGTGGAATTCGGCGGTTTGTTCAGTCGCTGGTGTTGTGCGACCTTGGCACTCTGGATGATGGCAGAAAGGGGCTCACGGCTGTCTGCGAGACGTCAAGGGGTAGTGAGGATAGCGAGGCTGTTCAGGAGAGGAGAGGAGAGGTGCAGAAGGCTATGGCCAAAGCGAGATACGGATAGTAGTAGGTCGATATGTTGGTGGTTCAGGTGTGTAGGAAGAAGAAGCAGGAGTGGGAAGAGAGGAAGGTGGGTATTGTCGGATTGATATTGGGAAAAGATGAGGACGAGGGGGTATTGGGTTTGGGATTGGCGCCGTCGAGATAATGGTGGCCGAGCACGAGACCTTTTTCCTTCCTCGTGCGGATCCCCAAGGTGTGAAAGAAAAAGGCAGTATCTTTTAGGGAGCACCCAAGTGGTAGGTGGCAGTGGCTCTTGGAATGATGTGGTGCGTTTGGTAGTCTAAAGTGAGATTCGCGTTGGGGAAATTACGGTATGTGCGAGTGGCTAATCTTCTTTTGTCGTCGGTCAACGAATCGAGGAAGAAAATCAGAAGGAAGAAGGGACTGTGGACACTGGACAGAGACACAGAGAGACACAGAGACGGAGCGAGAGCATGTGAAGAAGGTGCAGAACAGAGCAACTTCCCACTTTCCACTTTCCACCTTCAGGGACCTTATGGATACCGCACTCACAGAACAAGCCAATTACCTCGTGCCTTGCTCGACTTACGACCGCCACATGAGTGGGCCTGCCTCTACTGTGTACCTTCCCTTTCTTCCAGACCCCCGATTTCACCATTAGTTTCCCGGGTGTACTTAGTATGCGCGTACTCCTGACGGGCACAGGAAAAGAGCTTTTGATGGAGCAGATTTTCAATCTTCATGTTCAGGGTCTCTCTGAGCGGGGGGCAGTGCCGCAGTGGGAACCCGTTGTGATTGGGGGACCGGGGCGCTCCCGCGGGCGCTTTTTTCCCAACAACGCCTTCGCTAGCAAGGACAGACCTCAAGCAAAAGCTCAACCTGGAGTGACTTTGCCCTTGTTTGTTGGCCTTGTCTCTGTTTCTGCACAGGACGCAGGACGCGTGTCACGAGCGTCACGGCATAGGCACCGAGGAGAAGGAACCAAGGTACGCTGCTGTCCATCTCAGTTGCTCAGACCTTACGTACCTAAGGTAGTCTACGGAGTACCTTAGGTAACTATGTAAGGTATTCGTGATTAGATTAGATGGGTAGGTAGGCACGAGGAAATGGATGGGGGTCCGAAACAACCACAACGACTGAGAGGCGCCCTTACCGTCATTGTTGCCTCTCTTTCCCCAAGTCCTGTTCCCCTCCCCCTCCACACCTCGGGCAATTGGATGGTCTACACTAAACCCGTACCATAATGTACCTACCTTACCACAAGCATTGGGTTCTTTCAAGAGTCCATAGCAGTGGCATCCAAGGGTCTTGCAGCTGCTCGGCAATGCAGTGCGACAGCCACAACGGCCTGACGAGCCTGGATTGGATCGCAGGACCCAGCCGCTGGACCGTCTCAAGAGCTTCCCCTCATTCAGTCCATCCAATACTTGTTTCCGATTCCCAGGAGCCACGCTGGAATTCCGTCATCGTTGGAGCTGAGCCTAATGTATCCGTACCTTAGAGCACCACCTTCTCTGGGGCTTCTACAGCGTGCCTACTGTACTCGCCTCTTTCCCCAGTCATGATCAGCGCGGAAACCCGTATCGACTCACCATCTCTACAATGTAACTTCGAATGTCGTACCTTTACTATGTACTGGTTAGTAAACCGGGTTCGGGAACCAATTTCGCTATGCAACGAGCGTTCGTTTCGTACCTGACCGTCGCAGAGGTGCATTCCCTTGATGCACCGTTATCTTCACTCAAGCCACAGGCTGAGGGCTGCCTGCCTTAGGCTGCCTTAGAAGAGGGCTCACCGACTCTGTGTCTCTCGTCTCCTGCAGTCTAATCAAGTCCAACCCGGCCTGAGCATCCTGATCGCGAACTACAGTCGGGTGTCGTGTCTCATCTTTTGCTTCGAACCGGCTACCTAATACCTATGCATCCTCAATTCCCTAAATGAGCCACACCTCTGGCCTGGCTTAAAACTTATGACTCCAACCAAGAACATGCGATAGCGAAAGGTTCAAGCTCGCATTTTCGCATTAGGCATCTTAGGAGAAGCCCACTGAACCGTTGATGTACTGAGGTCTGACGGGGCTTGCCGGTTGCCCGCTCCTCACTCCTGCCTTCAGCCGAAACCTTGAGAGCCTCAACCCCACCTTGAAGTGCCGTCGAGGAAGGAAACGGGGCCAGACCGGCGGTGCTCGGACCACCTTGCACCTTCCGGTGGCTGCTGAGCCGTTTGTACAGGTACGTACCGCGGGCATTGACCTCTATTGGCTGTGCTCATCGACTTCCTACGATCCAGCCACCATCCTCATCCAACTTCGGGCTTACTACAGCAGATCGGATCGAACCCGCGACCTATCTCATCCCATCTACGGTCCAGCCACGACAAACAGCCGCATGTACCACTCCCGCCCTGCTGGTCTGAGTCTCATGGAATGCGGACTGCCAGTTCCTCTGGCGCATCAACCCAAGCCCAGGTTTTGTCGACTCTCATTGCAACATAGCCGCCACAGTAAGGACTTGTGAGTGATGATCGCCGGGCACGGCACCGTTGACATCTTGGAGCCTTTGACCGCCCTGTCATAAGCTTTCATAAACGCTATTGGATCTCTTATCGCTTCCGAAATGGCGCCGCCCGTGCTCCCGAATCCGTCCAACTTCTTGGCCGTAGCGCTGGTCATCAACAGGTCTCGTGATGGTCCCAACTTCGTCTTCCATTATCCACCCACTGTCTTGCCGCCCAACGCGCACTCCAAAAGTCATGAGCCAGCCGACGGCTCGGCCGAGTATGATGATATCTTACTGGAGCGTCTTAATGCGCCCGGCTCAGCATCCCTCGACTCCGATGCTAACGCCGACGACCTTCAGCAATGGACTGCCGGAGATGATCACTTAATCACCGAAGATGGTACGCAAATCGTCCCATGGGAGCATGTGGCTGGGTTTCCTACCAAAGATCTCGCCAGCATTCTGACCCCAGGGAGAGCGTATCACAAGAAGCTCTTCCAACTCTCTCTGGACCCCTTATTCTGTGTTTCTTATCCCATCCACGTCCCCGAGAGTGGGACCTGGAAGAAGAAGAAGAAGAACAAGAAAGCCAAGTCAGAGAGATCCAAGTCTGTGCGTACGGAGGAATCGGCGGTATTTGTCGACTTCGACCCAAATGAGGATAATGAAGATGCCTCCAAGGGCGCCGAGGCGTCGCAAAATGATTTCAAGGAGGAAGAACAACCCCAGCAAGACGAGCCTGACGACAAGCGGGCGTCCATGACTATGTTCAATCTGGTGTTCTTTCTGAACCCGAAGAAACATGAGGCCAAAGAACTCATCGAGACACTCTATCTCAACATCATTAAGAAGATCAACAAGGCATTTAAGTACTGCCAGCAGCGAAGTGAATTCGTGTGGAAAGAGTCGAAACGTATCTCAGCCCTGAAGGACAAGGGACGAGAAGATAGTAAGCCAGGTTACGTGGCACCATCGGATGAAAGGTGCTGACATTAATACAGGGCGTAAAATGAGTCTGCTATGGGACGAGATTCTACAGACATCATCTCTCGCGGCTGCCGTCCAAGACATTTACGAGGCCGTTTCCCAGAATAAGATTGCGGCCCTTCAGCTCGATACAGCACTGGGCCCAGTCACGCCCTCTGTGCAGATTCCCGTGCCGTTTTACGTTACGGACTTGCACAACTATGGACAGACAGAACAGAGAGGCCTCTGGCTGACGACTGCCAATTCATTCATCGGCGAAGATACCCTAGACGAGCCAGGTTTCTTGGACCGCAACTTTGCCCTCTTGCTGATGGGCGACGAGAAGAAGATCATTGCTGAATTACAGGCAGATTTGGATCCGAGTACTGTAGCCATGGTCGAGTTCGCCCGACTGTCGAAGCCAACGCAATCGTAAGTAGTGAAAGCCCTCTAAGACCCACCATGTACTCGTGCTAATGCTCGTTCAGTTTCTATCAAGTAGGCCAGAGCAACGTCTTGACTTTGAGCCAGGTGCGCAAGTACGCGCAACACTTCATATTCTGGCGGCGTGCTATCGCGATTCCACCCCTCCATGCCCGTGACACATACATCATGTCGCCGAATTGCGACACCCGTAACCTCTCTAGGGCAAGCCTCGAGTGGCAAAAGACGTTCCCACTCGCACCGCCGCTCACCAACTTCCTTGCCGAGCTATCTTACGCGCCGAGGTCATACAAACACTACTGCCCGAGTAAAGCTCATCGGCCCACGTACCTCGCTATGCTCGCGTGGCTCATGCGTGGTGCATGGGTGACTCAACTGTGCACATTCGCCTACGTTGTTGTCTGGCCCGAGATAATCTACGAAGTCGAGCACAAGCTAGAAAGCGATGAATTGCGCAAGGCCGAGAGTGCTTCCTCCCTCAGTACCAGCAATCCACTGAGTGGCTCAGCAATCGACGTGGCAGACGGGAAGTCTGAGACAGGGAGCAGCAGTGGTGGCAGTGGAAGTGGCGGTTTCGGCAGCGGTATCGCGACCTACATCCCGTCGCACATTGAGCAAACGGCAGAAAAGGCACGGCTAGAACGTATCGCAGAGAAGACGCAGCGCGAGGCGGCCGAAAAGGCCACGGCGCACGCGCGCAAGCTACCGCCCACGGCGACGGATCACCCCTCAACCAACGAGGCGCCGCATCTGGCGCGAATGCCCCCCTACATCATCGTAGATGCCAAGAAGGCGACGGGCAAGGAGTCCCTCTACCTCGCGGCCATCGGCAAGCGATTCAAGGATCCC